AGAATAGAACTCTCAGCACCATAAAGAGTAATAGGAGATGATCATTTATATAATGTCATAGTAACAGCTCATGCTTTTGTGATGATATTTTTCTTAGCTATGCCAGTTTTAATAGGAGGTTATGGAAATTGATTTGTACCTATACATAGGAGCATCAGATATGGCATTTCCTAGATTTAATAATTCAAGTTTTTGATTATTTTCTCTTGTATGAATTTAACTTTAAATTTTTATCTTTAGTAGAGCAAGGAGCAGGAACAGGTTGAAATGTTTATCATCCTTTATCTGGATCTTTAGCTCATTGAGGAGGATTGATTTTATTTGAGATTTAGCTATTTTTAGTTTTCATTGTGCTGGGTTCTCTTTAATTGCAGGAGCAAATTATTTCATTACAACTATTTTTAATATGAGAACAACAGGTCTAACATTTAATAAACTTCCTTTATTTGTATGATCTGTATTAATAACAGCATTTTTATTACTTCTTTTTTTACCAAGCAACTAAATTTTTAGGGATACTTATTGATGAGAACATCTCCTGGAATTCACATATAGATATATTAAATACCAAAATATCAAAAAACGTTGGTATCCTTTACAAAGCTAGTTCTATACTTTCTCCTGATAATTTAAAGTTCCTATACTTTTCGCTCATACAAAGCTACTACATATACGCTAATGTTGCATGGACGAGTACTCATAAATCCAAACTAACCACACTATATCGAAAGCAAAAACATGCTGCAAGAATAGTTTTTAATAAGGATAGACTCTCGCATGCTAAGCCACTTTTAAAAAATTTGAAAGCATTAAATGTATATCAAATCAATATATTCCAAAATTTATTATTTATGCTCAAATATAAACTTGGACTTGTTCTTTCTCACTTTTCAATGAATTTCTTCCAAAATAGGATAAATAGATATCATACAAGAAGAACGGAAAACTTCAACGTATCTTTTAAAAAAACTAATCTCTCGCGCTTTTCCATTTGTACCGTAGTCCTTGTCTATATAAGAAATTATTATCCAAAAATACTCAACTGGTAAAATCGAATAACTTAAATACTCTGAAAACTTTATTAAAAGATCTAATGTTAAACGCTATCAACTTTATGAATTTTTATTAACCCAAAAACATTTAAAACTATGTATAAAACTAACTTTGTTGCGAAACCAATGTAAATTCTAATAACTCTAAATAACAGGGCCGACGACACAGGTTTTGAAACGAGGGGGGAGGGGGCGCAATCTTCAATTTGTGAATCAAGTTCTCTTTAAAAAGATTTTTATTAAAAAAAAAAAAGTTCTTTAGAAAAAAAGTGGGGGGCACGTGCCCTTCTGCCCCCCCCCCCTTTCCCCCGTATTATTTATCAGGCTGTTATTAGGCTTATTTATCAACACGTGAACGTATATATAATACAACTATATAATCGTGTACCTACTCAAATGTATGTGTATTGAAATAAAATTAAAAAAATTAAAAACTTCTTTTTGTTTGCATTCTTCAGAAAAAAATAAAAATGCGAAAAACGCATTTTGTATTTTTATTTTATTCTGTCCAAACTGATAACATTACTTTTTATATATAAACTTATTTTAAATTGAAGTATCCAAAAATATTAGTAACGCATAGCGGTTTCTTGATGACAAGACCATCGGTCTTCTGCAAGTTTCCCGCGTTCTTTTAAGTAATTTCTAATTCTTTACAGTTTTATTTTTATATGTTTTTTGTATAACATAAGTTTGTGATTTTTCAAGCAATTTTCAAGCAATGCAATGAATAAAAGAAAAGTAAATGTTTTTAAGCAAGATTGATTTAATAACTGCTTAGCTTTTGCTTTTGCTTGATTTTCAACTACACTTTATGTTCCCTCCAGGTTACATTTTCGTCAAAAAACACGCTTAAAAACTTTATTGATTGCTCTCTCTTTATTTATTTTTTACCAATTAAAAAGGTCAGGAAGTTCTAAGAAAATATCTGATTTTTTATGTAGACGATGAAATAAAGTGTATTTTGTTTTAGTAATATTTAAATATAATTTGTTTGATTTAAACCATTGGGTTAGTTTGTCTAGTTCTCTGTTTACTCTTTGAAATAACATATTGATATCTTTAGTGTAATAAAACAAGCTGGTATCATCTGCAAACAAAATTGTATTTAAAATGTTAGAAAATTTATTTAAATCGTTTATATAAACGAGAAATAGTGGTCAAAATTGATTCTTGAGGAACACCACATTTAATTATCTCATAAGTAGTTTTTCCTTCATCATATACTATATACTGCTTCCTATTAGCCAAATAGCTCTCGAACTAGAACAAGTTAGTATTTTTTATACCATAACTTTTGAGTTTCGATAGAAGGATTTAATGATTGACTGTATCAAAAGCTTTACTTGAATTAATAAAAAGACCAGGGTATACTTGCCTTTATCAAACAATTTAAATATGTCCTGAATAAGGTGAATGATTGCATGATCGGTAGAATAGCCAGATTTAAAATTTTTTACCGATTATCTCCTTTATAATTTGCCATGTTTTTTTCAAATCTTTTTTGTGTTTCATTAATTGTTCCGAATAGTAATGTTTCTTTATAGCCGTTTATAGGTTTTATAACTAGTTTCATTTTTAAGAGTTTTTTTACGTGTCTTGCAATTTTATAGGTTTAAGTTCGTATCCAAATTCTGATTTTACATGCTTCTGCAACATACTGTCATTTTTAATAGATGATTTTTTTAACAATTTTATTGTGCGAACTTTTTTTTAAATTGAAAAATAATCTTTTACAACAACAGCCTCTACGGAACAATTTTTAAATTCAATGTAGCCCAGCTCTTTACCTTCATTAAACTCTTTACTGTCATACTCACTGTCATTCATTTCAAAATTATCGTTTTGGTCTAAAACTTCAGTTGGTTTCACATAAAGTACATCCCGACTGCTAAATGGATTGTATGGGCATAGCAAATGTGATGTAGTGGTTTGATTAAATGACCAAATTTAACCATAACTGATGCATCATCTGTAGTTGTACTAACAATATCATTATTAAATTCCAGTTTAAATTCACTCAACTTTTCACTTACTACCTTAACAGATTTTTTAAATGGCATACTCCTGATATCTTGTACAAATCTAAGATTACAAAGGCTTCCATTTGTGTGCACATTTACATTTATATAACAACGCGTTTTAATTGGTGTATATTCATTAACTGTTAAGCTAAGTTGTTAGTTTTTATGTCTTTTAATTTAGCTGTTGATTGAGCCTTAATGTCTTTAGCATGATCTAGTAAAATATTTTTAACGTAAATTAAACTAAAAGGTATTTTTGTCTTTAGCTAAAGCAGATTCTCGTATTCTCTAAGTTTTAGCAAAAGTGCTAAATGAAAGTCCAACGATTGCACTGTGATCTGTTAGTATATTGGCAATAGTATCTTTTGCTTGCATAAAATTTCTAATATCTTTTTGGGATGAACTTTGAACTGCTTTTGTAAGATGTAATAATGTTAATTCTATTTTATGTTTAATCTTTAGATGCTTTTGCATAACATTTGTGCAGCCTCCTTTTATTGTTACAATGACGTTACAAGTTTTGCATTGAGCAGTTTTATGTACCTTGCTCTTTAAGAAATTCTCCTAAAGGGCAATGGTTCTCTGCATTTCTTTTTTTTTTCTACTTCTGTGCATTTCTTTAAGTGCAAAGAGTTTCTAAATTGCTTTGAATTATTATTATGCTTCAAAGTGCAACTATAACAATAATAATCTTAACTTTGATCTTTAATAGATCAAAGTTGAGATTATTTTTATAGATTCTTCTTCATCAAAGAATATAAGTTCAATATGTATAAGCTCACACAAAACAAATAAAAACTCTGAAAAAAAAGCTAGCATCACTATTATTTTTAAGCTAACATTAAAAGAACTTATAACTGTTATCTCGAAAAACTAATTTAAAAGATAGTACTGCTATATATTTCGGAAAACTTAAATAGTATTGTTTATTTATTATTTGGTTTCGATAGTACACCTGGATACATCTGTCATAAAAATGTTTCCATAAAACAATATTTTACTTCTACTTAGCTGAAATCGTATTAAGTAATTTTGAGCAACTTACTAAACTCATTCGAGCGTAATTTGTAGTTCGTAGTTGGTACTTTGTATTTCGTAGTTCATTGTTTTGGATGATTCTCTGATCAGACAACTCAACAGTCAACGAAAAATAATTGAATAATTTTTTTAACTGTAATAGTAAAAATGCGACCTACACATTTACATAATAAAAAAAATATAAGCAATTTATTGATATTTTTAATCATAAGATAAAATCTCAAATTCAAAATTATAAGAAAAAAATAAAAGTATTCTTTGCATTCCAAAAAGGTTTCTGTTTCCTTAACGGCTTTATTTTCTATATTTAATAAGTTAATAAATATTATTAATTCTCTATTATTTCGTAAGATGTTATACCATATTTTCACAAGTTAATATACCTTGATTAATTATATTTAAGAAGTCATTGAAACTCAGTGTAATTAAAATCATTAATGTCAAAGTATGCACTATTTTTGTAAAGTTAAGAGAAAATTTTGGATCAGATAAAAAACGATGAGTTTCGTTTTCTTGAAAAAACGTGATTTTCCTTATAGTTAGTTTATTTTTTATAGTTCATTTAGAAGCGTTTCCAAAACTTTATTTATTCATTAGAATGTAATAAAATAAACTTATCAAAAATCAATAAAATTTCGGCATCAATTCTACTTAAAAAACTCTTCTTACCTGAAAATGAAACATTAAAATAAATACACTCATTAGAACAACGAATTTTTAGGATCTATTCTTCAAAACAAAAACTTTGTAAATCAATAAAATAAAATCATCATCAAAACATCTTGAAGAAAATGTTCAAATAATTGACAATATAAAAATACGAGATAAGCATATAATAATAAAAACTACTTAATACCGTTAGTATTGATTGGTGAATTACCCAGCTAATAAAAATAAATAAAAAAACTTTTTAGAATATTTCTTTTCTGTTCAACATAATATTATCTTTTCTTTTCTATTTAACAAACATATTGAGAAGTATTTAATCATATCACATCTAAATCTAGAAAATTCGTTTAACTTACAAACGACAAAACATTTCACTTTTTATTCGTCCAACTTACTATCTGATAAAAGATTTAGCATAGAGCCGACAAAAGGAATGAGTTTTTTTAAAATTGCACCAAAGTTTTTACTTTAGTGGCGTATTTTATAGTACTCAATGAAATCAACACTTTTAACATAAATTTTTAATATTTTTTTCAAAAACTATCACTGTCAAAAGATTTTCTATAAAAATCACTTTGATTTTAATATCTTTATCTTGTATCCATTTTATTGCGCTGATATACAATAACATTGTAAGAAGCTGTAAAGTGAGAAGCAACAACATAGAAGAATAAAATGGCGCCACCAATCATCTGCATTCGGTAAACAGATGCCTGAGCAAATATCGGGGATTTAGCATGTACAACGTATTGATCAAAATGCCCAGTGGTTTAGGATTATTTGCATTAGCTGATGCATTAAGCTGATTTTGTAGTTGAAATTGAATTTAAAACTAAGTTTCAAATCCAAGATAATGTTTTTATTTGAAAGGTAATTCACGTATTAAAATGTAAACTTTGCTGTTGTTGCTGTTGATGTTGAAGCTGTTAAAATTTTATATATGAATATTATTTCATCATGTTTTAAAATTATTTTATAAAATAGGGTGCAAACTTTGCAGTTACCTGAGAAACTTGGGCTTGCGTATATGCGTACGTTCCATCATTACTTACCATTGGATGCATTGCGTTGCTTCCTACAATTTACAAAATATTTCATAAAAAATATTTAAAATAAATAACTTAAAATAAGAAATGGAGTAGACATTAGAACTGATGTCTAATCCCTTCCCTAAAACCCTAAACGTGGTGGGCGATCCCTACTACGTTCCTGATAGTACCGCGCTCAACCTGTTTCTCCGCGTAATGGGCTTGTTCGTCAAGGTTCGTGTTTAAAAGTTATAGAGTTGAGAGAGGGTTGTAACCACAACTTTAGTAGCTTCCTCGACTGTAGTGGCCTTCATGGCCTTGGGGAGATGAATTCAAATAAAAAAAAAAAAAAAAAAAAATTATCGGGAAAAAAAAATTATAAGAATCGCATCACTGTGGACCAGAGATGAGTTTAGGTTCAATGCAGTGTCACTCAAGAGTATTTAAGAGTATTTGTATTATAACAATAAAAAAGAGATTTTTTAAAATCCGAATAAATTGCTAAAGGTCATAAATGGGGCAAAAGGGTCAACACAAGGGGGGCATAAGCCCATTTATGTGTGCTAGTTGCAAATTACAAAAAAAAAAAAAATAATCAAGAGTATTTGTTTCATAAAAATAGAAAATAGCGTTTTTAAAGTTAAAAAAAAATGCCAAGGGTCACAAATGGGGCAAAGGGTAAAATTGATGGGGACATAAGCCCATTTTACCATTTTAGGTGCCCGTTAAATTTTTCTTTTAAAAATAAATGTCAAATAAGTTAAACAAAATATTAAGCAACAAAAAAAATTTAAAATTTTATAATATTAAACCTACACAGACTAAAGTTACACTTTTAGAAAAGCATACTCAATGCGTGAATCAACTTTGAATAAGCCTTAATGGAAGAAGAGTTTAATTTATCATTAACTTTGACAGACTGCTCAAGACCCGGATAAACAATTATTTACTTTTTGTTGGATTATGTAAAATATTTACAGTAATATTATAAAATTTTAAATTTTTTTTGATGCTTAATATTTTGTTTAACTTATTTGACATTTATTTTTAAAAGAAAAATTTAACGGGCACCTAAAATGGTAAAATGGGCTTATGTCCCCATCAATTTTACCCTTTGCCCCATTTGTGACCCTTGGCATTTTTTTTTAACTTTAAAAACGCTATTTTCTATTTTTATGAAACAAATACTCTTGATTATTTTTTTTTTTTTTGTAATTTGCAACTAGCACACATAAATGGGCTTATGCCCCCCTTGTGTTGACCCTTTTGCCCCATTTATGACCTTTAGCAATTTATTCGGATTTAAAAAAATCTCTTTTTTATTGTTATAATACAAATACTCTTAAATAAAAAAGGTTTCACTTGAGTGACACTCCATTAAACCTAAACTCATCTCTGGTCCACAGTGTCATAAAATGAGTAAAATAAAAGACTTTTGAAACAGCAAGTATTTGAAATAAGCTGCATTTAAAATTCCTTTTCCAATCTTTAAAAAATAAAATATGTTCTATATATTCATGTTACTTTTGTATGTTCATAACCACCAAAAGATTAGATTTACGTTCACATATTTCTTTATCAAAAAAAATTATTTTAAATAACTATATTAATGGCCTCTTACCAACGTCATACTGCAGCGTGTGCGTCATTGAAGCTTCGTCACCTGTCGAATATTCTCCCATACCTAAAATTTTCTCTCCTTTAATAGACTAAAGTAAAATATATAGACTAAAATTTTAAAAATAAGTTTGGTCGCATTAACTTTTACATCAATTGTTACACAAAATAAGAATTTAAATACAAAAAAATGGTAAAAAGTTTTTAAGGAGTTTATATCAAAATATTACCTCTCTATATTTCGTAAGATAAACTTTGAGCGGTTCAACATAATTATCAAACCCAAGAGTTGTCATTGCAAACAAGATATCTTCCCCATTAATGGTTTTTCTTTTTTCTTGTTGACAACGTTCACTAGCTCTAGAAATGTAAAATATTATGTATTATGTTACATTAACTTTTCTTATTCATAAAATTACACTTAAAAAATGCTTGTCATAATATAAACACTGCATAACCAAACAGCATTTTCACTGAGCCCCCCTTTTCGTAATAATAAACACTGATTGCAATAAAGGTTTATCTTATTTCTAGTTTAAAAGTTAACAGTTAAATTAAGTTTAACCTAAATTATGACCAGCTGCATAATGATGATTAGCAGCATAACTGAAGACTATTATATCGTGCAGTGAAATGTATGCAGGGAAATATTTCTCTGTAGTGAAATGTATGCTGGGAAATATTTCCTGTATATATTTCACTTTGTGAGGAGAAACACTTATACAAAATATTTTAAGGCAATTTTTATATAGTTTTGGTTTAAAAAACTATAAATAATCTTACTCGCTAGTGATGAAACTAATAAACTCAGATAAACATTCTTGTAGGCATTCTTTTGCATCTTTTGCTATCTGTAAAAAAATAAATTTTAATACTAACAGAAGTTCTTTTAATGGTTTTTTGAAAAAGTTAAAACTTAATATTAGAGCTAAAACATTATATAATAAATTGAACAAGTGTTATAAAATTTTAAAGTCAAAATAATATTGAAAGTTATTTATCTTGTAACAAATTAAAATAAAAAAAAGATTTGAAAACAGTAAAAAACATTTCCTATAAAAAATAATATTTAATGTGGGTACTATTCTATCAGCCATAATATCAATACATACTATATAAAATTTATCATATATTGATATCATAGTAAAGATATCAAAATATACAATTTAAATAAAGTGTCGATACCATGACTGAAGGACATAAAATAAAGTATATATCAATACTATTTGTACATATAAATTAGAAGTTATTGTAACAGGAGCATTTTGTTCCTGCTCAATTTCTGTTCAACACTACTATTTGTTTGAAATTAAAATATAGAAGTCCAGTCACAGACCACAATTTTTAATGTGAAAATTGAAACAATAGTTGTTCATTTAAGAGTTTAGTGTTTAGTAGTTGGAGGATCTGTCTTCTATGTGTAAACATTATAGTGTCCTTGTTTATACTGCATTCGACATTTTTAACCATGAAACAATGTTAATTGTTGAGGTTCTTGTTAATTTAAACTAAAATTGTCTTTGTTAACTGGTAATACTAAAACTAGTATAATCCTTTAGTCATTTTTATTATATACAAATGTACTTGTATACTCATGTATGATTGTGTGTATGTACATGTGTCTATGTGTATCAATAACATATATAGAGCAATTATTTTGTAAATATTTCCACAATTAAACCACAATTGGGTGCGAAAATATTTAATATTTAAATATTTTGTATATATATATATATATATATATATATATATATATATATATATATATATATATATATATATATATATATATATATATATATATATATATATATATATATATAAAGAGAGTGAGAGAAAGAGAGAGAGAGAGTTTGAGAGAGAAGAGAACATTTGATCTAAACTAAAGGATTGTTTTTTTTTCCTTATTCAGAACTTTATCTGTAACAAACTTGAACTTTACCTTGCCACTACTGGGAATGGCTTTTTTCATGATTCTTGCTACATTTGCAATCGGCAAAAAACGATCCTATTTAAAAAAAAAAAGTCTTATTTATTACTATTAATTATATATAAATATATATATATATATATATATATATATATATATATATATATATATATATATATATATATATATATATATATATATAAACAGTTAATAAAATATTTTTTGGACTATTCTTAACTAGACTTATATTCATCAATAAATTTTAAGTTTTATAAAATCATCTCTCAGGGTTTAAAAATTAGGACCACATAAAATTTGTAACCCCATACTTGAGGGGGGTTTAAACTTTATATGGACATAATTTTTGAAAGCTGAGAGATAATACTATGAAACTTAAAATTTATTGATGAATATACAACCAATTGAAAACTAATATTAGCTAAGGTTGCCACTCTTTATCATGCTTTTCTTGCTCTTGATCCATTCTTTATTTTTGAAAATCTCTTTTTTTTCCTTGAATATTACTACCATATTTAAATTATAACTAATATAATATTAAGAATATTCTTATCATTGTACTGGTTATTTTGATGAGTTTCTCTTCTCAAAAAACTTGAATTGTAAGTGTTTTTGGAAATGCTAAGTCTGACCTATCATCACTTGTTCTATCAACCAAAAAAAAATTAACTTTGCATAATTTGCAACAAAGTTCAATCACTTTACTACAACTGTCTCTTAATGCTCAAAAAAGTTTTCATCTAGTTATTATCCCTCAGTACTCTGGAATTCTCACCCATCTTTATGTTTTCCTGACTCACATTATTTACAATTTTATAAGTATTCTGCTAACCGCTTTTTTGCTCTGTTACTCTCTATTTTGTTTTCTGTTAACTCCAAACTTTAATAGTGGTTTGATTATAAAAGAAAAAGGATTTAGAATTCTTGAATAATGAGGTACAATGGTCCTAACTTCTAAGAAGATTTTAACTTTATTCTAATTTTAAATAGTGAATTTTCAAGATGTACATTTTTATGTTGCTTTTGACTTAAAAAGTAAGAATGTTTTTATCTGGGCATTCTGAGATAAGAGATTGTTTATGATTGTAAAAGGATATCTACATTAAACTACAACCAGTGAACCACATAATCTCCACAATTATCACATTATTGTTTTCTACTCAGTCGTTTTTAATAACTAACTTTTTAATTTTTTATTACAGTTAATTTAAATGATGGTTTTTGCAATAACCATCATTTAAATTAACCATTTTTTTATAAATTTAAATAAATCTTTCTTATAAAACAAAAAAAAAACAGCACCTGATAGATTGACCAGTTGACAAGTAAAATGATTGCCATTAACTTCTATTAATTCTTTGATATTGTCATCAAAAATAAATTTAAAACTTGCAAATAATGATAGTAATGCTTTTAATGGCTTAATGGATATAAGAGTTCAATTAATATTCTAAACATTTATAAAACTAAATTTTCTAAACTATAAAACTAAAAATTCTAAACATGTTATAAAAGAAATATTGAATGACTATATTTATTCAAAACCTAATATTTATTCAAAACCTAAATATTTATTTAAAACCTAAAAATGAATGGAAATTCATTTTTAAACTTTGTAATTAAATTTCAGCATTTTTTTATTTATTTATTTTTTAACTTTTATTTTATTTATTAATTTTTAACATGCTGATAATCAATTGGAATTTAGCTAGATTTTAGCATATTTTAGTGATGGAACTAAAATATAAGCTTCAATTGTTAGAAAAACAGTAACTTAAAAAAGATAAGCAGATAAAAAACTATGGTGAAAAAATTGAATTTTGGTTGATAAAACTTGAGACAATAGCTTGTTTGTGCAGCAACCATGATGGTATTTTTAGAGAATAGAAACAGATGCAAAGGACAACGAAACAGTGGCTCAAGCTTGGCTTGATTGATTTGTTGAGGTAAAAAATGAAATTTAGATACTAACATTGCAATAGATTGTATATATGGTTTCTATAAGAGTTTAATAGTGAATGATAATCCAAGAAGATGTAAGGTCTGAGGAATAGGTTAGAGGACTCAGTGAGTTAACTAACAATAAACAAAAATTTATAACACTGTTAACTTTAAAAAAATAATGAGCGAAAACCTGTTCTCTAAGTTCATCTTTATCTCGAGAACTAAGCTCATCAGAATAGTCTTGTTCATCTGTTTCTAAAAAAGATAATTCATAAAACACTAAGTTAATTAAATAAAACTATTAAAGGCAATAATTATAAAATAATAGAATAATAAATTTTCTAAAATGCGATAATCAAATTATAAATTGTCATTTGATGGAAAGATATTTGAAAAAAGTTACAAAAGTTATCAAAACAAAAATGCTCATGTAAACAATCATTGTCGAAGATAATATAATAATAATAAAAATAATTTAAATAATAAAAATAATTCCCAAAATAATTCATTTTTTCATTTTATACCTGAATTCATTACTCCAGAATTATGAATGTTACTTGAGGAAACATTTTGTCTGTGTTGGTGCAAGTGTTGCTGCATTATCAATACTGTAGATTGATTATTGTTATGGGCTTGTTTAAGAACATCTTCGAGATTTTCTTGATATTCTGCTTGGGCATCTTCATTAGCTGTCATGCTTGCTTCATGTTTAATCAAAATTGATGGCCGCTCATCTACTTGCATGTTTTCTAAATTCTAAAGAATTAAAAATATGGAAACTTATAAATAAAATGATTCATAATCTCGTGCTATCTCTTAAATCTCTTGAATATAAAAAAAACATTTTTTTATTCTAATTATATATCATTATACAGGTCTGCAAATTGAAATCTTTTTTTTTTGGGAATTTTTTTTTTTGTATATATATTTTGGTATGCTGATTTCAATAATACCATCCATTTCGACCCATCATGTAAGGATTTTCCGCTAAGTCGAAAATAAAATATGGGCAAAACCCGACTTACACTACTTTTTTAGACAATAATCATAAGAAAAAAAAAATCGTAAAAATATACAAATTTAATTTTAAATCATAAAATAATTTGTTTATAGTATATACAACTATAAAGCTTTATAAAATCTAGTTTTTTTAGTTTTGAAGCTTCGTTTAGTGCTTTTTCTTTTGTGGGACGTTATATTTTCCCTATGCAGCATCCAGCAGTAGTCGCCCATCATATTTGTATCTCATTGACCTTGATACCTTCTCTCAATTTCTTTTATATCTGCACCAAGATTTTCCGGGAAGTAACCCAAATAGGAGTACAAAAAATGGAGTTTTAAACTCATTAAGCATCTCAGATTTTGAAAAATTCACAACATATTTTCTACAATATTTTCAAACTTTGTAACTGCGTCTTTAAAAGAATTCCAAGCTGATCTCTCAACATAGTTCATCACATTTTCAAAGTTGTTATCTTTCATTAGCTTGCGAATGTCAGGACCAACAAAAACTCCCTCCTTCAGCTTTGCTTCAGACCAGGAAACTTGCTTGAAAAGTATTTAAATGTCTTACAAACTTTTAGCAATGCCTTCAAAAACTGCTTCATCATGCCAAGTTTGATACAGAGTGGTGGTAGAAGGACCTTTTTAGAATCAATCAAAGATTCAAAGTGCACCTTTTTCTCTCCAATCTTCAATGTTCTTTTCGGCCACACTTTCTGGTTCCAGTGTTTAGTTTTAGCACGACTATCCCATTCACAATGAAAACAGGGAAATTTTGTGTAACCACCTTACTGTCCAAGTATCATAGAAATTACTTTAAGATCCCCACAAACTGTCCACTTTAATTTATCCAAGATCAATGCCAAGTTACAATAAATTTCCTTCAAATACACTGAGTGACTACCAGGTATTGATGCATACTTATTCTCGTTGTGAAGTAAAACAGCTTTTATACTTCTTTTCAAAGAATCAATTAACAGTCGCCAATTTTCAGCTATATGTTGAACTTTGAACATGGACATTAAACCATTGATTTTAGAACAATAGACCAGCTCACCATATTAAGAAAAATAAAGTTCAAAATATTTTTCTCTATTTCTATACCAAGCAAAAAGTTCCAGGTGTCAATAAATTTTTCTCTTGCAGTCTAGATCCTAGTACTCAGCAGATTGTTTTGAAAGTCCTAAATCTTGGATCAGGTCATTTAATTCAGCTTGAGAAAATTGTTGAGGACTGGAGTCGCCTATTTGAAACTCGTCACTAGAACTTTCTTATGATTCACTTTCTAATGATGGTAAATCCTCTAGGCTTTAGGGTGCTTGTGGTGTAGGAATGCCAGGTCCGTGAGGGACTGGGCAGAGTACCGATTCTATGTTCGGATTAAAAATTTGTTTTATATTTTTGGTACTATGCCCCTGCACATTGCATCAACAAAAGTAGCAGTCATCGTTCTGGTTTCGAAGCTCTCTCCAGATCATGGAAACACCAAAACGAAAAGATTTAACTTTACATTTTGACCACATTCTAAGTCCTTCAACACACTCTGAATAAACTCCATGCGGGGCCCAAGATTTGTCCTGATCGCCTATTTTCACACCAAATTACGCAAAGTACACTTTTTTAACAAATTCACTAATATTTCTTTGTTGTTTTTTTACTACAAATTCACCACAAATATAGCAAAAACTTTACACAACCTCTTGAAGTCATTTTTGAAATACGTTACAAAAGTTGGAACAGAAATAAATAAATGAAAGGGAAATTCCTTGGGAATTTCAGCATTTGTATATATCGGTATTTTCCATCTTACTATGGAAAATCCTGATATATATATATATATATATATATATATATATATATATATATATATATATATATATATATATATATATATATATATCTACAAAATAATTTTATGTTTTGTAGGCTGAAACAAAACATTTAGTAACTCATGAAGATAATATTAGTCAGCGTTGACTCATATATATATATATATATATATATATATATATATATATATATATATATATATATATATATATATATATATATATATATATATATATATATATATATATATATATATATATATATATATATATATGTATATATATATATATGTATATATATATATATATATATATATATATATATATATATATATATATATATATATATATATATATATATATATATATATATATATATATATATATATGAGTCAACGCTAACTAATATTATCTTCATGAGTTACTAAATGTTTTGTTTCAGCCTACAAAACATAAAATTATTTTGTAATAAGTTAATAAATAAAATAATAAACATTTTGGCAATAAACCCTGTTTTGCGCCCTAAAATAGGCAACCCCACAGCATTTTGCGTTTTTCAGAAAAATCTTACGTGATGGAATTTTTTTAATAACTTTTTCGAATTCAGCTACAAATACAAAAGAATTAACTCTTTAATCTTAGAAAAAAAAAATGTTGAAGACCAGAAAAATGTTGCAGACCTGTGTTATTATAATCATTTTCTTTTCATAGCTATTTTCTCTATAATTTCTCTACCTTTTTCTCCCTAAATTACAAAATTTTAACATGCTAACACCCGATGTAATTTTTTTAGATGCTAAAAAAATATTTATACTGACAAAGTCTGTTTTACTTGCTCATCCTGTCCACTTTTACATAAGCTGACACACTGTATCACTATTTTTAATACCTGTGTAACTTTTTTGACTTGTCTTTTTACCTTCAAAAATAAAATTATGCACCCACCTAAAAGTCTCTCTTCTTTCCAGATGCTGCATATTGTTTACTTCTTAGAATGTTTATTAATTATTATGTCTATATATAAGAAAATGCCATTTAAAACCTTTACCATTTAATTTTTCATTCAATTTTGAGGTTTTGAATTTCTGCAACATTGTTTTACAAAGATCTTACATCAATTGGCACACTCCCTAAAATAATCTTTCCATACTTCAAAATTCAAAATCTCAATTTGACAATTTTACCCTGAGTTGAATCTGTTTATCTCAACAACATGGAAAGTTAGGAAACATCTACATGTGAATTCCAAGTCATATAGGTAAAACAATTTGAGCTAAAAAAAGATCTAACATTACTGAAATGATAAAAGCCTTAGTTAAAGTTTACAAGATATATACCTAACTTGATCTTGTATGTACTTATCATCAACCAACTGACAGTTCTGGTAGATTCAGGAATTATGTAAGTATGGTTTTTATTGAAACAAATTTTTACTATTACTACTGGTCTATTTCATTTTTTATGCTAAATTTCGTGCAATAAAATGTACTCTTAAAAACTAATGCCTATAAGAACTACAAGGTCATGCCATCATAATAAAGCATGATATATAAATTTTAAAATGCGTGTATTTACTTTGTATGAAATTTTATATAAATTTCATTAATTATATGATTTGTAAAACTTTGTTTGCTACCTCTAACACAAAAATGCTTTATGATATCTTTTATTATTGTTTTTTAACTGTGTGACGTACACTCTGTATAGATTTATATATACATTTATGTATACACATGTACATACATAACATGATCATACATAAGAGTATATGAATCTTTCTTTTTTATTTTATAAGTCTATTAAAATTATACACTTTAATTAAAAAAAAAAACAAAAAAAAACGAATAAATTTTATATTGATTTTGTTCACTGGTAAAGACTTTAGAATCTCACCCAAAATTGCCAACACAATTTTAATTAAATTGTATTAAAATGTATTTTTGTGCAATAACTTTGACTTTTTCCAGTTACTTTTTTAAGTTGAGATAAAAAATTATTGTGATTATTATAGGCAACTAATTAACTGACTGGTTTTATTATTAGGGCAAATTTTAGGCTGTTTAAATAATATTAGACATTTTTCTACAAGTTATTTATAACGTTTACTATTTTTCAATCAAACAAAGCTTATTCTATGTTCATGATTTATAAGAATAGTATACATTTACACGATTTATAAGCATTAAAAAATTCATATGTAAATACAGGATTTTAGCACATGGTAATTTGCTTTTGTTTACAACATTGGTTTGAAATTTAAATACCTAACGAATCCACCACTTAATTTCTGACAATAATTTAGTAGCCAACCACTGGTTCTCTTCATTACAATTCTCGAATTCGATTTGCTGCTGAAATTATTCAATGCAACATTCATCCAAGTATTTTTACGCGGAGATTATATTATCTCCCAAAGAGTAAAACCATTTTTGTTAGTTTTTTAATAATATAATGAAGGCTTGACGCTTCGGCTGAAATTTAACGCATGCGCAAATATTTTCATTTATTTGAAACAAACTTAGAGTGACAAGGACATAAAAAGAGTAAAAAATATATAATAGAGCAGTTTCGGCTGAAAAAATGATGCAGAATTTTTTTATTACCTCTCTATTTTTATAAAACTAGAAAGACTTTTCTATTCATTAAATAAGTTCCTCCCCAAATCTCTTAGCCCTATCATGGCCTACTTTATTTATACGGCCGGATATTTTGCATTTTGAAGAAAAAAATAGAAGGCCAGTTTTCTTGAAATGTGTTTTTAAGAAAGCAGCTTTGTAAGTTTAAAAAGATGGTTAGCAAATGTTGCGTTGTAAATTGTCGTTCAAATTATCATAATTATGATGAATTATCTACAGTAGTATTTTCGTTTTCAAAAAATGAAGAGTTAAAAAAAATTGGATTAAATTTGTAAATAGAAAAGATTGGACACCTACTAATTCTTTCGTTATATGCATCAAACATTTTGAAAAAAAAATATTATAAGAAATGTAACAAGAATCAACGTTTTAGATTAATAAAAAAACTAAAGCCTATTCCAACTATTATTGACTGCACAAAATTTTGGCTGAAGAAGGTTCATCACAACTTAAAAAATCTTCTAATTCATTAAGAAAATCACCAACTAAAAGAATATTTCAGCCAGATCAATATAAACAGTTTTTATTTAATGATTTGATTAATAGCTTTGATGATATTACTGAAAGTTTTGCTCCAGATGGTTTTTCATTCTTGAAGTATGATGATCATGTAATTTTTTATAAATTGAGTCATAGCACTATATCTATTCCAGAAGTTACTGAGTGCATTCGTGTAAACAATGAGATGCATGTTAAATTATTTTACAAAAGTTCACCTCTGCCATTGCCTCAGTGGTTTCGTCAAGGAAGAGATTGTCGTTTATCTTGCAAAAGTATGCTTCATAATTTTCCTACCTACATTAAATCACAAGCCGAACAATTTTCATCTGTATTGACTGAGTTACAGAAAATTAAGTATATGAAAAACCTATTTATTCAGCCAATATTGTAAGTTATTTACTGATATTACGATATACTTCTATGCAGTCATACCAACTTTTGCATGAAGAAAATCCTTTACCATCATTATCATTAATTAAAAAAATAACTAGTGGAAATATTAATGCTTTAAGTTGTGCAAAACGTTTGAAATTAGAAGGCAAGATATCTTAAGACATTTGCTTGATTTTTGATGAAATGTACTTGCAAAAATGTGAGGAATATTTTGCTGAAAAGTTGATTGGTAGTGATGAGTTTGGAGAAATGTACAAGGTAATTGTTTGTTTCATGATAGTTGGCCTGAAACAAAACATTCTATGTGATCAAAACGTCTCCTGAAAAAAATAATCAATGCTGAATGGTTGAAGAAATTTTTGAATGTCTTCGTATTTTAACTGAATGTGAATGTTAGAGTTATTGTGTGTGACAACTATTCCGATAATGTTTCTTGTTTTAAAAAAATATCTCTTGATGCTGGTTTGCGTAAAGCACCGAAAATAACAATAAAAGTGTTACATCCTGGCAATTTTAAACAAAATGTTTCTTGACAAATCATGACAAATGCACCAGAAAGTAGGGAAGTAGGTGCTCATATTGCTGTTTATATAGCAAAGAAACTTAAAAAACGTTTTGGTACATGTTGTAAAGAATTTTTTTGTGTCAATATTGATGAAAGCAATCCTGATCATACTTATATAACAATTATTTCTAGGGGTGGTCACACTAGGGGTGGGCTCACTAGGGGTGGTTTCACTATTCCTTCACCATTACTTTTGGATTATGTTTGCACATCCTTTGCTATGATTGACTACTCTTATAACAAAATAAAGAAATTTAGTTTACATGCACGACAAGCTTTGGAAAATTTATTAAACCACTTTTATGACTCTTTTCAGACTTTTTCTTGTCCCATGCATGAGAAAACTGGGATAAAACTTGCTGGAAGAATTGTAAATTATATATAACATAATTATTTTACTGTTTAATGAAAAAAGAAAAACATTTTAATATTTTTTATAACTGTTCTTGCTTCTTACATTGTTTTTACTAATTCTAAATTATAAAATAAAGACTCTTGATTTATTTATTTCCTAATAAATGGACTTTTCAAATTTAGAAAGTAAAATAATTTTGAAAATGTTCAAAACGTATTAAGTTTTTGAAACATTACGATTTTAAAAACTGGCCTTCCATTTTTTTCTTCAAAATGCAAAATATCCGGCCGTATAAATAAAGTAGGCCATGGCCCTATATTTAAGTCAATATATATAAGTACACTCCTCTGCTTTTAATTCAAGTCAGACAACTTACGTAGACAACATTGCGCCAATCCCTATTTATATCAGTCGATGTATTTACACTCTTTTTCGATGTATCAACGGATTAATCCAATTATTCTGTTAAATTTTGAAAAACAAAAACGATAAATGAATATAGTTATTAATAAACAACAAAAAGAGTTAAAACACATTCAAAATAAAACATAAAAAAAAGATTTGAACCCCCACACCGTACATCAACCTAATAAATCCGCCTTAAAGCAACATTAAATCCAAAGTGTTAAAAGAAGTAACTTAAATATTAGATAAAAAATATAGAACGTTCGTGCTTGCGTTAATTTTCAGCCGCAGAAGCAATTTTAACTCACTTACAGCGGCTGAATTTTCAGCCGCGAACACTCTCAGGTATTGTGCTAACTCTCCACAAAATCATGAGGTAGTAAGTTTTACATGATCATGATTTTAAACACTAAATTTAAACACGATTCAAAACCTGATGAATTTAAATTTAGTACAAGATTGTAAAAACATAGATTTTATTAACTGATTGCCTTCATATTTAGCGTAGATGCGGGGACCAAACATTTTTAAATATTTTTATTTTATTTTTAAAATTTTTGTTTCGTTTTGCAAAATACTTTATTTTAAAATGTATTTTTTAAATTCATTGTTGGAACGATATTATCATAATGGTAAATTTATTTTTTTGGCGGTGGACTACCCAAAAAGATTATTTATAAATTAGGTAACGTAACTTTTCAAGGAATAAAAAATCACAAAACAAAATTTATTCGCGTTTTTCATTTAAGCATTTAAAACTACATCAAGAATTTGGTTGTCACATTTTCATTGTTATCATTTTCAAAAAAGTTGCGTTGCGTAACTTATGAATGATTTTAAAAGTACCTTAGTATGATATAGTTATTTGCATAAAGTTATCTATATCACATTGAGAATCTAAGTATGATACAGAGAATTAAATTTCAGGGGCGGATCCAGGGTGTCGCGAATGATGCGTATGCGTCAGTCTTTTTTCACCGCTAAATTTAAGTGTATCTCTTTTTCACTTTTTTTTCTTAATAAAAAGTAAAAGGAGAAATTGGAATCTGGTATTCACAAAAAATGAAAAACTTGTTATAAACTCGAAAAAAAATCATTTAAAGTCAATTTTATTTGATCTCTATAGTTACTTATTCGATCTCTATAGTTACTTATTCGTTACTTAGACAAAATTCCTGCGTTTTGGAGCAACTGATGCAATTGTTCTTAACTAAATACAAATGTGATTGGTTTTAAAAAAAAAATAGTACGTTTTAACCAATGATATATATATACATAGATATCTAACTCCGTAAAAATTCCTTGATATAGTATGAGGCAAATTTTTTCGGCGGAAGCCATATTGAATACTGGCAAAACATCGTAAATAAGCGATAAAGCTTTGATTTGGTTTTACAAGGAACTATATATTACCTGACCTGTTTAGATTTATTTATTAAAAATGAAACAAAATAATCTTAATAGTATAGTTAATGTTGAAGAAGAAGTAATGTTGTTTTGAATTACTTTATCTGAAATTGAATTTAATTACTTTATCTGGACGTTATTTTTATAATTGTAAACTTAAAGTAGTTGATGTTACTTTAAAGTTATAGTTTTAAAAATAAGTTAACTACCTTAAGAAGATGCTGCTATTTCTGACATACTTTGAAAAAATTGGACATGGATTAGATTGAGGAGGTATTAATTAAATACACTATTACCAGTAAACAATATATTAACTGTTAATAATATTATTTATAAATTTCTAATAATTTATATATATATATATATATATATATATATATATATATATATATATATATATATATATATATATAATGTATGAATAAACTTTATTTTATATAAATATTATACATGTGTATGCATAAACACACACATACACACATAATTATAAAAACACACATACACATATATAAATATATACATATATAATATACACATATATAATATTTATATATAATAGAGTGTTTTTTTTATAAATTTAAAAACAAAACAATTTGCATTATCTCTAAAACTAAAAAATCTGAGTTTCTTTTTAACTAAAAAAAATATTTATATGCCTTTAAATAAAATTATTTTATTAAACTGCTGACGTAAACCAATTTTATGTTTATGTAGAATATCGTTAGTATACTGTTTTCCATAACGAAATAAACGAATGGAGAGATATTTATCAATTATCTTTTTTAATAGTTGAGAGGAGTGCATATCTTCAGTTAAAATCTCATGATCTAAATCATGCTCGTTTAGTTCAGGAAACATCTTTTCACATGCAAGCTCTTGATTAATTTTGTAAACCATTAAGGATTTTAAGTTTTTTTGTGAACAAGTGGCTAACGTTGAATTAATGCCTATAACAAAAACTCTAAATATTTTCTCACATTTTTCAATAATTTTAATAACACTAACAGATGGTATATTTAATCCACCAAGATTTTTTAAATTTATAAAAGATAAAGATGATGATTTGTAAAAGACTGTGTACTCATGATCACGAACTAAATTATCTGGTTGGTTAAGTGCTTCAGTACATATGCAACAAGTTATTTTCTTTTTAAGAGTTTTAACAATGTAACCAGCTATATAACCAAGTATTGCTTGTTTGTATATCAATGTTGAAATCTTTTCTAGGCTATTTGATAAGTTTGCAATTATATTTTTATCTTCATCTTTTAATTCTGTTTCTATCATTGGAGATCTTGTTTTACTCCATTTCAATGAAAATATTGAACCAGCTGAATTTTTTTCAAAAGTGAGACAATTTGCATGCTTTGAACCAATCAAAAAGTTTCTTAAAAGAATTTTTTTAAAGCTTGACTTTAATTGTATAATATTAGGATTATTATTAAATCCATTTTTTCCCCTAATACAAGCAAACAACAGTTCTAAGTGATCTTGAGACACTTTATAGGTCAACACATATTTGAATGAACATTCGGATCTTGATAGTAAATTTATAGACATATTTTGGATACTAGTTGCAGCGACAATGAAACCAATAGCAAACGTTTTTCTTCTATGTTTAAGAATTTTAGTCCCATCTTTATCAGTTAGGCTGGCCAGATATTTAATTGTTTTTTCAATAACACTAAACCAATGGATTTTGTCATTAAGAAATAAGGGTTTTTTCAAACCTTTGCCGAATGGACTTCTTGAATTAAGTAAATCAAAAAGTTGATTAATTGTTCTTATAAAATCTAATGTTCCTTGAGCATCATGAAAAGAGGGATGACCAGATAGCATTAAAAATTCAATAGCCTCTGCTACAGAATTACTTAGTGTTTGGGCAGCTATTTTTACATTCATTTTATGCCTATGAAAATTAATATGGCTATTTCCTAACTTATTAGCAAACTTTAGTCCAATGTCTTCTTGCAAATTTTGCAGAATTGTGATGTGCTCCCACTTTACAAATCTTTTTTGACTATCAATAAATACACCAAGATCACATAGCGCATTTCGTGCAAGTTTTAGCATATGGCAAGGATCAGGAATAAAATGAATATTTTTATTATAAGACTCAATATTAAAAAAAGTTTTCATATTTTCAGGTTTATCAAACGAACAGCCAAGACTTTTCATGGCACTAAAATTAGAAAAAACACCATCACAAGTTACGCTGTGAACATCTATACCATGCTGAACACATAAATTAACTGCGTTAGTTATAAGACAAACCAAGTTTGTTGTTGAAATCTTTTCACATAAAACATAACCGATAGGACATTTCCAATGCCCTCGAAGTCCAACAAGCATAAAGACAAGAGCCTCAGTAGCTATACTATTTGGATCAAAAGCAGATATATTGTTTCCATAATCTGAAAAACCTTCATAGTTACCATTACTTGGATTATAAACAAGACCTGATTTTATATGCATAGAATCAAAGATCAATGCACAATCTTTATATGTAACATCTTCTAATCCCTTTTGTTGTAAGTAAGAAAAAACATCTTTAAAAAATCCAGGTGAACAATCAATAGATGAGGACCAATTCAATAAAGAACTTATACAAGGCAAAGCAAACAATGAGCTGACAAAAGTATAGGCACGAGGTGAATAAAAATGAAGTGTCAAGGCAAATTTCTTTACTTCTTCTGAATATCGGTGACCTCTAGGATCTTTGCATTTATTGACTAGTTCAGATTTAAATAAATCACGAACAAGACCAGAAAAGCTATTATCAAGAAATTGAGCTGTATCAGCTGATATAAGCTTGTCATTCTCAAGTTTTTTAATAATATCTGTCATTGTATTTATTTTCAATTCTTTCCTTCTAAGCTTTTGTTTAAGAGTCTTAATTTTTCTTTTAAGCTTGACTTTAGATGGAGAGTCGACTTTATTATTTGGATTTTCAATAGTAAAATCTACACTAGTTAAAATATGATTCTTAGAGGAACATGGCAACGAAAGAGATATCTTTTTTTCATTAATAGTTTCGAATGTCTCAGTTACATTCCTGGAAACATATTTTCTTTTGATGGGCTTTTTAGAATGCATTTTCGCCGGGAAATTAAAGATAGATGGTACAACATTTGCTTTTAAACGAGGTTTATTTGCATTTTCATAATTGTAATCTTCTTTATGAAAGTGAACACTACATATATAACTATATTTTGTAGGAACAAATGAATCACGTTTTGTTGCCACAACCCATTTTTGGCATAGCTCGCTATTATTTAAAGGGAATTTATGAAACGATATCGCAACACCTTTGTTAAATCGGTTCACACAACCATAAGCAGAGCACGATATAACCATTTCTTTAGTAATAAAAGTAAATTTTTAAAAAATATTATAATTTTTTTTTTGCGTGTTTTGCCAGTATTCAAGATGGCTTCCAAAAAACAAATTTGCCTCACAACCGCGGCTCGAGTTAGATATCTAGTTAATATATATCATTGGTTTTAACCAATCATATTTGTATTTTTTCACAAATTTTTCCGATCACTTTGTAGCAACTGATGCAATTGTACTCTAAATCATTAATGATTGGTTAAAAAACAGTTTAAACCAATCACTATTTAATAAAATAACAATTGCATCAGTTGCTACAAAACTTCCGCTAAAAACTTTACGAAAAAGATAAGAAATGTTATTTATAACCAATCAAATTTGTAGAAAGTTTAGAACAATTGCATCAGTTGCTCCAAATCGTTCAAATTTTACAAAATTCTGACATGCCGCCTGATATACGTTCTTCGCTCGTAATTTTCGTCGTTGGACTTTGCTTGTAAACTAAAGTTAAAAAAAAAAATGAATTTTTTAGTCTCAAAGCAATTAAGGCTAAACATTTACCAAATATTCGCAAATATAAAAACCAGTTGACTGAAGAATTGAAAGTTTTAAATAATAAGAGTCCAGTTCAGCCACATAGTCAGTCTTCTGAAAATACTGAAATGGATCGTTTTATCCCAAAGCAAGAAGATACTAAAGATTATGTTGCTTTAAGGTAAAACCCTATTATTAAAGTTAATGGTATTTTATATTTTCAGCTAGTATTATATAAACTGTATTAAAAGTATTATATAAAATATAAACTGTATTATATAAAATATAAAATTAAAATATAAAAAGTATTATATAAAATATAAACTGAGCTTGTTTTAGTATACTTTTTATTTTATTTAAGGTCATCTGAAGATGGAAATTGCCGGCAATTTCCATCTTCAGATGACCTTAAATAAAATAAAAAGTAGAGGCATGCCTCTGGCAACTGTAGAGGCATGCCTCTACAGTTCAGCTTCACTTTTAAGCAATTTGTCTCTGAAGACAGTTATTGTATTGAGGCTTCTAACTTCGATTGAATTGTTTGAAAAAGTTTGCTACTATGCGAGGTACTCCCTTTTTGTTAAATAGGTTAAAAACAATAATTTTTTTAATCTTTCCAGTGTTCTAGTAGCCTGTGTTTCTTTTGAATGTTCAGATCAATTTAAATTAATTAACAGTGAATCTACTTCTGAAATTATAATAATGGAAGCATTGATCAACTGCCGAGCTAACAAGTTTTCTTCATTTTTATGTCTAATTGCTTTGTCATCAGTTTTATATATTCCTATTAGATTAATTTATACTGATTTTGGCTTAGAAAAATTCAAAAAACTTTTTAATACAATTATTTTTCCGTTTTGTTCAATTAAAAATCAAGATCAAAATGTTTTAAATATTTTATTGTGTAATACTGATATTATGTCAGTGATGCAAAATAATGATAACTGGACACCGAACCATTTTGTACCAATTATTAAAAACCTAAACTAATTTCTAGTAATAATAAGGGCTATAAAAAACGATACTACTTATCCTTTACACTTTTTTAGTCCTAAAACTGAAACAAATAAAAAACAACAATTTGATTCTGCAAAACATGTCAAAATTTAATCTAAAATTAACTTTAAAAAAGACAATGCTTTCATAGAGTTGCCTTTTGAACCTTCTGTAGATTCAAAAATAGTTAAGTCATTAGACTCCAACTCAGTTATTATTCCTTCATATAATGAATTAAATTCTTTGTATGATGTTTCAACATCTCTTGTTCGAGGTAAACTTTTAACTGCTGGCAAAGATGATTCTATTTTGTTAGATATGGTAAACAAAGTATTTTGTCCTAATTCTGTTTGTTTTTTCTAATATCTTTTAATACAAAAAGATCATTTAAATTTGAATGGCTCAGCCAGTTTTCTTGGTTAGCTTATTCTAGCAAAGAAGATGGAGCTTACTGTCTTCCTTGTACTTTGCTAGGTGCTAGTATTCCAAATAAGTCTGGAATATTAATTTTAGTTTTCAAGCCCCATCAAGAGTGGGGTAATGCTGTTCGTGATTATAGAAAACATGAGGAAAGTTGTGTTTTACATGAAAAATCTATGCTTTTATTTAATGCATTGCTTTCACGTTGCAACTCCAAAAATAATGTTATTGAGGTTGATTTAAATAATTCTCGTTTGAAACTTCTTTCTGATAACAAAAAAAAATTAGTTCCAATAATTAAAATAATAATATTTCTTGGTAGAAACGATCTAGCATTTCGTGATGCTAGCAAATATCATCCTGATATTGGGGAATCTTCTACACAAAAAGTTGGAATTAGTAACTTCATAGAGCTTTTAAATTTTTGTGTTGATGCTGGTGATCAAGTATTAGCTAATCATCTTTCTTCAAGTCCAAAAAATGCAACCTATATATCAAAAACTACCCAAAACCAACTTATTGATTCTTGTGGGAAAGCAATTGAGAAAGTTTTAATAAAAAATGTCAAGCATTCAATTTTTTTTTCAATTCTTTGTGATAAAGCAGTTGACTGTTCAAATACTAAACAAATGTCACTTGTTTTAAGATATGTAAATTCAAATAATGAGATTTGCGAGGATTTCTTAAGATTTATTGATTGCAAGACTGGTACATCTGGTCTTAGTCTCTAAATGTACTTAATGCACTTCAAGAGTTTGGACTTGATATTCAAAATTGTAGAGGCCAAGGGTATGGCGGTGCGGGTTGTATGGCAGGTAAATATGAAGGAGTTGCTTCTCGAATAAAAGCTCTTAATCATAAAGCTATATTTGTTCATTGTGCAAGCCATAGACTTAGTTTAGTAGTAGCAGCTGCATGCCAAGTTCAAAAAGTAAAAAATCTTCTTGGCCAAGTAAAAGAAATATTTTTTTTTTAACTTATCTCCTAAACGTAGTAACTGTCTCAAAAAATATTTAAGTCCAAATCAAAAAAAAATAATAGATACTTGTCGAACAAGATGGGTTCAAAAGCTGAGAGGTCTTGATGTTTTTCTTTGATAATTTTATACCTATTATTCATGCTTTAGAGGAGATGGGGTTAAATGAGTCTAAGGAATATAGCAGTGAAACTGCTTCCAAATCCTCTTTTTTTTTAAGATTATTAACAGATTTCTCTTTTATTGTAAGTTTAGTTATTACAAAACAATTAATGGATTTTTTTCAATTCTGTTTTTTTTCAAATTCAATTACTGTAACTCTTCAAACTAAATCTTTTGACATATCCCAGCAGTGTTTTGAAATAACTAATCTAAAAAATCTGTTATTAGAAATTAAAAATAAAATTAATATATATCACACTGAATGGTACGCTATCACTCTTAGTTTGGCCAAAACTCTTGATATACAAGAAGTGAGACCTAGATTGTGTAATGTCCAGGTTTACCGGGATAATTATCCAACAAATACAGTTTGTGACTATTTTAAACACAGCATTACATCTCCATTAATTGAACATCTTATTAATGAGCTAGATAATAGGTTTCCAGAAAATGGCATGTTTGTTTATAAAGGTCTAGCAGCAGTTCCTTCAACTGTACTGTCCAGAATACAAGTTAAAAAACCATGGAAATCTGATTTTTATGAATTTTTAAATTTCTATTTATCTGATATGCCTCATTTTACTTCAATACATGCTGAGTTAGATTTATGGGAATTATTTTGGGAAAACCAGTCAAGTATTCCTTCAACTGTTGCTGGTACTTTAAAGTCCATTGACATGAGAGGTTTTCTAAATATAAGGACAGCATTTATAATTTTAGGAACAATTCCAATAGCAACTTGTGAATGTGAAAGAAGTATTTCAGTTATACGTAGGCTAAAAATATTCTCTAGAAGTAATATGATTGAGTCTCGCTTTAACTCTTTAGCATTAATGTCCATACATCAAGAAATTTTTCCAGATGTTGAAAGAGTCATTGACATTTTTTCAAAGTCAGGTGAAAGACGTTTAGACTTAGCTTTTATTTAGTAGTGTACTAACTTTTATTTTACTTATTTCTAATTTGATTTTTATCAAATTAGAAATAATTTTCTAATATTGTGTGTGTGTGTGTGTTTATATATATATATATATATATATATATATATATATATATATATATATATATATATATATATATATATATATATATATATATATATATATATATATATATATATATATATATGTCCAGAAGTGGAGGGCCAACCTTAGGCAATATTACTTAACACTCCAGAAATGGAGGGCTAACCTTGGGCAAAATGACAGTATACAGATGAAGTGCAAAGTCCTATGGCTTACCTTCTCGTTGGTGCACTTTGTTAAGTAAATTAGGCTTAAAATTACATGTCTAATTTATGAACAAAATAGCCAAGGCAACATTTGTAAAAATTTCTGCTAAAAATGGATACTGCAAAAGCAATACAAAATTTAGTTATTATTCAATGATATAAACAGCGGCGCCACTAGTAGAAAAAGCTGTTTCTCCACATTTTATATTGACTATACTTAAACCCTAGAGAGGTTGGGGGGGGGAGACGTCGATAAAAAAATTTCGCATCACCCATTTAAAATGCTAGATCCGCCCCTGTAAATGATGCCTCAATATCATAGTTTTTAAACAAGTTACTCGCAAATATGGAATAAACTATAAACCAAATGTTTAAAAGTTATCTTATATGAAATAGAAATGAACTTAATTTTTAAATTTTCTTTTTTTTTTATGGATAATATTCAATACTAATTTTATTTAATTGCTTTATTTTCGTTACTATATGGACAGTCCCACTATTAGATATTAACGTTAAAAAAAACTCTTTAAACGCTATTGGCTGATGAACGTTTTTTTTATAAGATAATTTTAAAGAATAATAAATTTGATTGTTTACATCACGGACAATAAGAAATGTTTTATCTCTTATACGTTCTGGTCTTAGGGGTTCTCCATCAATTACGTCAACAATTTTTTAGTGATTTTTTACATTCTTACCCTTTTCTCCCCTTACTCTCCATTGTCAGCAACTTGTCAAACTTACAGTTCTTATTTAATGATTTGATTAATAGCTTTGATGGTATTACTGAAAGTTTTGCTCCAGATGGTTTTTCATTCTTGAAGTATGATGATCATGTAATTTTTTATAAATTGAGTCATAGCACTATATCTATTCCAGAAGTTACTGAGTGCATTCGTGTAAACAATGAAATGCATGTTAAATTATTTTACAAAGGTTCACCTCTGCCATTGCCTCAGTGGTTTCGTCAAGGAAGAGATTGTCGTTTATCTTGTAAAAGTATGCTTCATAATTTTCCTACCTACATTAAATCACAAGCCGAACAATTTTCATCTGTATTGACTGAATTACAGAAATTTAAGTATATGAAAAACCTATTTATTCAGCCAATATTGTAAGGTATTCACTGATATTACGATATACTTCTATGCAAGAAGACCCTCCCTATAAAATTACTTCAACACTCGAGTATCTTCTCCCTCCCCCGTTTTTGCGCATTTATATTATTAAAAAAATTTGCAAAAATGAATTTACTCTTAGGGAGGTAATATAACCTCCGTTTAATGATACTTGGACAAATGTTGCATTGAATATTTTCAGCAGCAAATCAAATTCGAGAATTGTAATAAAGGGAACCAAGGGTTGGCTATTAAATTATTGTCAGAAATTAAGTGGTGGATTCGTTGGTATTTAAATTTCAAACCAATGCACAGTCGTGCAGAACCTCAAAAAAAAGGCCATAATTCAAAATTTTTCGAAACTTTATAAAATGATTTTTTTTTTTTTTTTTATGAATTATGTTGCTTATATTATCTAAATATATATAGTTTTGTTATTTTTGTTCGTTAACAGAACCGCTAAATGACGTCATTTTTGTAATAAATTTCGATTAAAAAGATACAAACGTTTTCAACGCAATTTTTATTTATTTATTAATAAATTTTTTTTGTTTTTTTTTTGTCAGAATTTTTAAGATATCTTAAATTCTACGTCAAAAAAGTTTCACCTCATTAAAGTTAAAAAAAACTTTTAAAAATTACTCTAAAAAATGCTAAAAAATGCAACATTTTGTAATTTTTTATTCGTTGTTTGTTCAAAAGACATCATATTCAAGCTAATCTAACACAATCTTTATTAAGTTCAGGTTACGGTTAAATCTCGTTAAAAAATTCAGCTGCATATATTCATGCATTATGATTAATTTTTAGCTACTAACATGCAATCTTTTTTATGCTCTAATATTTTCAAAGAATATAATTCGTTTACAAAGTATACAAATGCAAAAAAATTTTAAAATTTTTATAAACACTAACAATATAATGTTGCTAGGGTAAAAAAAATTTACTTTTATGTTTTAAATTCATACACACGTTTATTTTTTAATCGTAAAAATTTTTCAAAAAAAGATATTTTTTTAATGTGTTTTATATATAGTGCAAGAGGGACAGGAACATTTTTAAAATAACTTTTCTTTACTGCCAATGGTATATGACAGTCTTAAAAAAATTCAACTAAAGTTAATAAATTTTATAGATTTTATAACAACTTTAAATGACGAGTAATTTGACTCAACAGCGGCGCCAAGTTACCAGACCTGGTATCTTAATATATAAGATCACTTTCACAGACTAAGATATATATATATATATATATATATATATATATATATATATATATATATATATATATATATATATATATATATATATATATATATATATATATATATATATATATATATATATATATATATATATATATATATATATATATATATATATATATATATATATAGACAGGCTGACATATTGGAAAGATTATAAAATACGTTGAAAGTATACTCATCAGTTGGTAAAAAGTTACATTTACACGCAAGTTACATTTACACGCAGATTGTGCTTAAGCATCACGCTTGAGCACAATCTGCGTGTGAATGTCTGCTATTTTCTCATTTGTTTTATTTTTGTAGCTTTTAAAATTTGTAATAAAAATAAATTTTTAAAAATAAAATTACAGAAATGGTTTGATGAAGCATCTAGTTCAAAATGAAAACCTTTGACTTGCATATTTATTTAAAACTTTTAAAAAGGATGATGTAGTACATCATCCTTTTAAAAATTTTTAATAAATATGGTCAAATCAATAGGTCAACGAATTTGAACGTCATAAAATCACTATATGTTCCTGGTCGGTTGTATTGTGCTCAGGAGCTCAAAAATGTGTTAAGTGATTTAAAGACTACTTTTTTTTTTCCTTCTTTGGAGGAGGGGGAAGGGGGGAGGGAGGGAGGAGGGAATCAGGATAATTATGGTATAAGAACTTATCAATTTCAAAGCTGGAGTTCTTATGCATAACTGTTGTCAAAGGTTCTAGAACACCAGACTACAGACCTCAAAAATAATGATAAAGATAATTAGTTTCAAGATTTTAAAATTACCAATGATTTTTTTTTCAATGTACTCTCATGTCTTTCAACATTTTTAGAGCTTCATTACACCAAAGGTTTTGAAGCCTATCCATACTTTTTATACTTTTAAAGTCATTAAAAACTTAAAAAAATAGTTGATAAAATGTATTTTTTACCCGCAAACCTGCCTCAAATTGTTAATGATAAAAATTGAAATATAAAGAAGTTCCTTTACTAAACTATTAGGTGTTTATCATAATGGAAAGATTACTAAGATTCAACATATTAAGTGGCAGCGCAATAACTAGCATTACAGCCAGCGCAATAACTGGCATTTTCAACGCAACGCAATTCAACGCAAGAAAATTTGTAAACAACATGAGATCAACATGGGGGAAAACCCCTCAAAAAATTATTTTCTAAAGTAAAGCATTAATAAAGTTATTACATGTTCCAAATAAAAGTACTAAATGTTAAGAAGATCTATCATAAAAAATGGCACTCCATTGCCATGGCAACACGGTTACTAAGGGAAAATGACAAATTAGTCTCTTCACCCTGGCAAAGATTGCAGTCAATTAGAATAATACTTTGAGCTGATTTTTTTCTAACTTACAGTTAAAAGATAGATCTATGCAATAAGCAGACAGTTTTTGAAAATAACTTATCTGTCAGGTGGTAGGCCTGTTTAATTTTGACAGAAATTTTAAGCACATAAATGATAGATGTTTTTTTTTAATTTCTTTAGTTTAAAAAACGTTTTTAAAAAGTTGTCTGCTCATTGCATACATCTTTATGAGAGGAATACTCCCTGAAAATTTCATTAATATTGGTCAAGCGGTTCTTAAGATACTTCTGCCGGGAGATTAAAAACACGCGTTCTGAGAAAAATGCCAAAAAAATTGAAATTGAGATAAAAAATATTATATAATAACAAAGATACAAAGAATATAGTATAAAAAGAGCATACTGATTGTATTTTTTAATCATGAACACCAGCCCCATACAATTTCCCTTCTTTCTGTTCAATTTTGTCAAATTTTTTATGCTTGCGGCTTCTTAAAACTTTCATTTTGATTCTGTGTTCTTCCATGTAGCAAACAATTTAAATAAGCATCTGATGTTAGTTCTACATAAATGGGCTTTAATTTGTGTACAATTTCAATAGGAAGACCTGGTCCGGGTTTATACTCTTTAATTCCATTAGCTTTATCTCGATTGTATTTACACCAACTATCTTTTCCTGTCAGACAATGAGGGTAATGCCAATTATTTTTGGTTGAGGATGCTACATGAAATAAGCTAACCAAAGCTGAAGATCTCATACATTCAAGGTTGCTACAAATAAAAAATGCAAATACCATAATAATTTTGCAACCGATCAATTGTAGCATTTGTTAAACCGCCTTTACCATTTAAACCCTTGACTTGTTTTTTTAATTGTCTACAACGAGATCCAATGCGCTTTTGAAAATGTCCGATACAATCTAGTTTAACTACTTCAATACCCTTGTATGTGTTTTTGACAAAAGTGTAGCTTTTTCTATCACCATCACCCAAGTATATTGTGTATCGTAAATTAAATTTTTGCAAAGAGCGATTAAATATCTTTATTGCCCCAACTGTTTCCATTCCACCGGCTGATCCTTCATAGTTTTTATTGCAAATGTGTGATTTTTTTGCTGTTGGCTGCTGCTTTGAATTAACAACATCTTGATTTTTTTCTTATATTTTACACTTTCTAGATAATGCTTTAACATCTAAAACCTTCCCATTTTTAATTGATAATGCTGCCGTCACCACATTGTGTGAATTAAATCCTCTTTTTTGCCGTGTTCCATCAACAGAAACTCCAGTATCTAAGATCTCATTAGGAGATTTGTCTTCTCTGAGTTCTTCTACAGCTTCATTCATAGTTTCAATAGCAACAGTTTGTGCTGCAGTTGCCAATTTTCGAACAATAACATTATAGCTTTTATTGCATAATTCTTTTGGGATACTCATAAGAGTGGTATATCGATGTTGACCAGGTTGGCCTTGACGAAGTGTTCTCATAGCCTACACTAATCTTTTGTTAATATCAAACCCTGCTACATTTTTTGATGCGTCAAAGTCTAACTTGAAACCAAAAACACAATTTAATGATAAATTTGATGCATATCCTTTGCAAGACTTTTTATTTTCGCTTAACGACAACTGTAATGGTCGCAAACATTCTGGACACCCAAGTTTATCAAAAATGGAAGCAAGAATTTCTAATTCAATAAACCTGTAGCCACTGACACATTTTGAGTTTCCACTTGGAACCATTACTTGCTTTACTTTTTTTTTGATGCGCTTTTAAATACACTTTCACTTTCAATATTTACAGAGTCTACCATATTTACATCATTACTATTAACATTATTTACACCAATATTTACACATTTTTTTTGCTTTCTTAAACCAGAAAATGTACATTTACGTTTTCGAAGACGTTTCTTCGAAAACGTAATGTAGAAAATTTTACTCTATTACTATTACATTTTTTTTTTAGACCTATTCATTTTCTTTCATTATATAGAAAGCTTGAGTTGATTGTGTAGAAGCTTGACAAGATGACTAATTTTAGCACTATAAGTCAAATATGTGGTTTTAAAGTATGGCTTTAGAGATAATGGGAAGCATTTCAAACTAAACTGCAAAAAAAAAAACGGAAAAAAAGCTATACTAGATGTGTTTTATTGACAGTTTTTCTGTAACTAGGGGCGTTGCTAGGTAATTTTGAACTCAGGTGGTTGTACAAAAATGTCATTTATTGATATAAAAAATAGCGATTTTCAAATAAGGGGTTTACCTTTTGTTTTCTTAATAAATTTACTTTTAAAATATCTGGAAAAAAAAAATTTTTTTTTTTGAGAGGTTTTCCTCCTTAAGAGCCGTTTTCTGATAAAACCAGGCAAAAGTTAGGCATTGTTAGCTCAAAAGTGATATCCTTTAATCGCGCTCAATTTTTTATACAGTAATACTGATTTGGTTAAAAAGAAGCCTGTAACTTTTTTTTTTTTCAAAATATTTATAATTTCTGAGTTATGGTCGGTCAAACTTTTCCCCGTTTTATACTTGAAAAGTCACTTTTGGGGTTGTATGATTTTTAAATTCACATCAAAAGCAATAAGACCACTGCAACCTAAGTTTCTTTTCATATTATGGAAGTATAGGGAGAACTTTAAATAGAAAAACCAAAAAACCTGAGGACAACTCTTGCCTTTGTCTAAAAATCATAAGCTGAAATCACACGTTTTCGAATTCGGGGCCTATTTTAAATATGTTTATCTCGGAACCTAAAAGGTGACCGCAACTCATCTTATCCTTTTTGGAAAGAGTATTCCATTGTCATTTGAATGGTTTAAAGAAACTGAAAGGATATTGTTTACAAAAAAAGTTATGAGTCATCAAAGTGTCAAAAAATGTTTTAACCAGCGTTCAAATATCAGCCATTATGGAAAATGAGAAAGGTCCTAAGAATGAGGATACAGATTTTATTTTACTACATATTACAATTTATTTGATGCAAAAAAAAAAACTTAGGGGGTAATATTGCATTTTTGAAATAACCTAACTTCAAAAAAGAAAATTTTTTATATATTTAAAAAAAACCGAATGTCGCAGCGGAGTTAATCAATATATTTAAATATATTATGTCTTTATCTTGTTATGTGATTGTTTTACATATCTTTATTCTTAAGTCTTTGATTTTAATGCATCGTTGCTTGAAATTCCTTTTGTGTTTTTCCAAATTGTTCATCTATAAGCTTATAGTCTCCGTGCTGTTTTAACGGTAATAGTGGTAGAATTCTACAAATGATTTCACTGTCATTGTACTTTATAACATCAGGAAAAGCTGGCCACTTAAAAAAGGTTCTTGTCTGCAGAAGCATACTTCATACAGCTCACCATGTAACCATCACTGAGAACCTAATATGAGTTATGATCTTTCTAATTTTAAAAATAGTTTAAAAAATTGATAAGATCAAACAATAAAAAAAAAAAAAAAAATTTTTTTTGAATGAAAAACATTTTTTTTAAACGTTGAATAAAAATGAAGTACCTCATTTATAATACCAGGATACCAATTGCCCATATAAATAACAACAATCCAATCGTTTTCATGCCATGCACAAGATAAATCAATGGCAAAGTTTATAAACTCCTTTTCAAATTCTTTATTTGCTAATTCTTCTTGATCTAAGGAGAGAAAAAAATAAATATTTGTAAAAATATTTATTCAAATACTTACAAGATAATAATAAAATATATATTAATGAGAGTAAATATAAAATTATTACCTTGATCGGCTATCTCTTCTTCTTCTTCGTTATCCATATTAGTACTACCAACATTAACTGGTTCTCTCAATCTTTTTTTAGCCTGCTCTAACGTGAAAATAGTGATCTTATTTGAGTTGTTACGTATTCTGAGACTTGGAGCTCTTTTTTTATTAAAAGGTGCACCTGCTCTGGGCTAAACTTTTTTCCTGAAACTTCACCTTCCATAAAGAGTTTTATATATAAATTTTATATAAAGAGTTTTCGACAGGAGTAGTTATACCTATGTTTGCATTCCTTATTTTTCGTACCTGGTCTATCTTGTATTTGGAGCATCCGAAAACTTTCATTAGCAACTTCTTAGTAAATTTTTCATGTTCAATCAAACACAGTACAATATGTTTTCCAATAGAGTCACTTTCTTCATAAATTTCAACCAATTTTTTTAGTTCATCAGGTACTACATCATTGTCTGAAGCTTCCAAAGATCTTTTTAAAATAATTGAGATAAAGTCTTCACTCTGATCTGGGGCAACAGCTTCAGGGAACCTTTTTTCGAGCTGTACCTTGGCTCTTTCAAATTTTCTTCGTAAATTATTTTTTGTTCCATTGCTGAGATCAGATATCTTTTTTTTCTTTATCTGAAACTGAAAAGGGCTGATGTGGAGTGCTTCTGATAGGCTGTTACCAGTAAATGTAGCATCTTCAACTTTTTCTCCAGAAAGTAAAATTTCTTCAGGCTCAAAATCAAAATCAGTTGTGTCTTCAACTAGCTCTTCGTTGGGCGGCAGTACTTGTTTTAGTTTGATTTAGAATGCGCTCTGACTTTAGGTGGTTGTGACAAAATACGGAACCTACTGGAACACTTTTGTTGTAATATTTTGAAACATTTTTTGACATATTTATTGAAATACTTCTTACAGTAAATGATTTCTTACTAACACTTAATTGATGCATTGGGTGACAGCATCTTCTTGGAGGAACCCAACCAATACCTTAAATTTTAACAAAAATCAAAGTTTGAAATATTTATTTTAAAGGTTTAGTAGTTAATTTTTTTATTTTTTTTTGAAATACGGTTGTAAACAAATTCTTACCAAAACTAAATCTATGGTAAGGGCATATATAGTCGTTATCAGAAATTGATATGCACCCTCGATTTTCTATAAGTGACTTTTCTGTCCATTCCGTCTCTTGGTGTCTTTTTAAGACCTAAAAAAATAAAACTTATGTTGTTATAAATATTATGCAAAGTTTTTTTACAACTGCTAAGAGCATTTCTTACTTTAATTTTTACAAAGTGTGCTTTGACATCCAATGTCAGATCTTGTATCTTGAATAACCTTTGTTCATTTAAACGAGGATATGGTCCACACTTGACATCATTAACTTTGCAAACATTTTCAACAACGACCTCAAGCTTTGATATATATTTTGCAACTAAGTGTTTTTTTTAAAAAGTGTATTTAACATAAAAGCTCATTCTCTGTTCTAAATAATTCAGAAGTAAATGCTCAATAAAACATACTAAATAACTGTATCATCAAGAAATAATGTCTAACAATAATTAATTATGTTCAAATAAACATCAAGTCAAAGATCTTTATTAGAAGAAAAATATTTTTCAAGTCTACAATCGTAAAAATTATTTAAAAAAATCAGATTTAGCATCATTTTGACGTAAAGTTATTTCAACAATGCAATACTACCCCCTAAGTTTTTTTTTTGCATCAAATAAATTGTAATATGTAGTAAAATAAAATCTGTATCCTCATTCTTAGGACCTTTCTCATTTTCCATAATGGCTGATATTTGAACGCTGGTTAAAACACTTTTTGACACTTTGATGACTCATAACTTTTTTTGTAAACAATATCCTTTCAGTTTCTTTAAACCATTCAAATAACAATGGAATACTCTTTCCAAAAAGGATAAGATAAGTTGCGGTCACCTTTTAGGTTCCGAGATAAACATATTTAAAATAGGCCCCAAATTCGAAAACGTGTGATTTCAGCTTATGATTTTTAGACAAAGGCAAGAGTTGTCCTCAGGTTTTTTGGTTTTTCTATTTAAAGTTCTCCCTATACTTCCATAATATGAAAAGAAACTTAGGTTGCAGTGGTCTTATTGCTTTTGATGTGAGTTTAAAAATCATACAACCCCAAAAGTGACTTTTCAAGTATAAAACAGGGAAAAGTTTGACCAATTATAACTCAGAAATTATAAATATTTTGAAAATAAAAATTTACAGGCTTCTTTTTAATATTACAAACAACACAATATGTAAAATTGAGAATGATTGAAAGATATCACTTTTGAGCATTGTCGGGTTTTCTCAGAAAATGACTCTTAAGTAAATTAAGAAGTGGATCTTTTAAACAAAAATTATTTTGTATTTTATGAGTAGTAAACATGAATTAGAACATCTTTACAATATTTATTACCAATTTTTTGATTTTCATTTTTGTATAATTAAAATAAATTCCAATGAGTGGAAGCAATGAATGGAAGCTTGAAATATCTTTTATTTGAGTTATTAAAAAAAAAAAATGGGTTCATTTTCTGATAAATACACAATTTAATTTTAGATCAATAAACTTTCGTAAAAAATTGATTATTTTGTAAAAAATAAAACTAAAAAAAAAATTGAAAAAAGACCTGTATTATTTCTTATTATGATAAACTAATGTCGAAAAGAAATTGGATTTTCCAATAAGTACATCTAAAAAAGGCAATCTGGTTTTCTTGTTCTTCTTCCATCCTAAATTTCAATTTTTTATCTTATTTATTTAGGTTATTAAAAAAAATCTTGGGATTCATATTCAGAATCAAAGATAGCAATTATGTCACCCGCAAATCGTTTTATAAAAAATTATAAGATGAACTACTATTAACTCATGTTTGCTCGTGAAATTCGATAAAAATATTAGTTGAGATGGGCGCTAAAGATGAACCCATTGCATCTGTTTGATCGTAATATTTTCCATCAAATAAAAAATGAGAATCTGAAGTCGAAATCTGAGGTAATATTTCAAACTAAGTTATAAAAAATTGTTTTAAGATTTTTAAAGAATAATTTTTTTAATCTTTTTTCTTTATCTTTTTATTCTTTCTATTTATTCTTTATCTTTAAAGAATAAATCAGTTGCTGTATTGGTGGTTCCTTTAAGTGGAATGTTTTGTAAATAAACTTTAAACATATAAAACAATAAATTTATTATTTACATTAACTTGCTTTAACTCTTCAACAAATGAAAATAAGTACAAAGTGCAACATTTTTTAGGTATATATGGAGACAATAAATGAGAAAAATGTTTGACAACCTTGTAGTTGTATGCTCCAATCGTTAAGATTATTGGTCGAAAAGTTGGAAGAGAATAATCTTTAGTGAAGCGCTCTACATTAAATGGGAAAATCCTCACTTCATAAAAAAACTTTCCATTATAGTATTGACTTATTTATTTAATTAAAATGACAGTTTATTTTATTTTGATTGTATTGATTGGTTATTTACCTGGTAAATTAATTACCCGGAGCATCTTTTTAGCAACAAACTTACTATAACTTTCTTCATTTGATTATTGCAACCTATATAATTGACTTAAAACTTTCCTATTTCGTCAAAATGGGTTATATAAAAGATAAAGAGTCACTAATTTTGGCGAAAATTGTACTTTTCAGACTGTCTTATTAGTTTAAAAAACTTTGGCTTAACAATTCCGTGAATGGCTTGTGTAGTCACTCCCGCTAAATTCACAAAGAGCAAGAACAGCTTGGCAACAATCAGTAACCAGCTCTAAAATAGTAATAATATAATAATAATAATAATAACAAACAAACTCCACAATTTGTTCTACTTGAGTTTGTACGTCTTCCCCATATATCAAAAAATTTAGTTGTTTGGATAGCTGGTGTAACTTTGTATAAACTTTAAAGAGCTGAGCTAAGAAATTATAAATGATAAACTGTACCTGGTTTTTCAATTTTAACAAGTTCTGACTTCAATAAATAAATAATTACAAGCTCTGCTAGTTCTTTTCTGTCTTCCCTAGCAATTTTTTTTTTAAATGTATTTTTTGCAATATTCGAGTGCATCTGTTGCTGCTTTTTCAACTACAGTACCAGCCTTTAATGACAAATCAAACCTTAATATGGTTTCGGGATTCTAATGAAGTTCTGGATGGTAAAACTTATTTCTTAATCTTTTAAAAACAAGATTTTTTGGTCCTACCTTTTCTTCATGAGTAACATGTTTGTGAAAATGACTTATTCTAAGCTCTGTAACATGGTGCCTGCAAGCAAGCTCGAGAATGTATTTACCTAAATCATAGGTAATTCTATGAATAGTCGCTTTCGTATTGCCAGTATTTGTTACTGTTGTGTCAAAGTACAATCCACCAACATTTAATTTAATACCATATTCATATAGGAACTGCATTATTCCTTTATATTGATCGTCTCCTGAAGAGGATGGTAAAGAAGGCACATCCAACAAGTGTAATTCGACATTAATATTTATTAGTACAGCTAGTCGCTCGCATTTTAGTTTCTTTCCTTTAATTGTCTCAAATATAGTTTTTCCATCAAAATGAATTAGACATGGGAATGTAGGTAAACGTAAAACGTTTTGTTTTAAATCTTCCCCCTATATATATATATATATATATATATATATATATATATATATATATATATATATATATGGATCCCCCTATATATATATATATATATATATATATATATATATATATATATATATATATATATATATATATATATATATATATATATATATATATATATATATATATATATATATATATATATATATATATATATGTATATATATATATATATATATATATATATATATATATATATATCTACTACAGCATATATATATATATATATATATATATATATATATATATATATATATACATATATATATCAAATTAGTTAGTGCGGCCGTGGCTAAATGCACTTCCTGCATTTAACCACGAAGTGGTTAAATGCACTTCCGCGGTGTTCTCTGACAAGACCGTTAGGTCTTCTTGGGGCACCTAAATAGCAAACAAACAAAAAAAAGTTCATCATTACTGCTAACGTCTTCTTTGTAAAATTTAAAGATTTTACTCGATTATATTTATATTTAATGATTTTACCTTATATAAAAATAAATTTATTAGTTATAAGTTGTTAAAGTGACAAAAACTTAAACTTAGAGCATATTTAAGCTTATCAAACTATAAAGAATATAATATTCAAAAACTAAATGTATTGTTAAGAATCAACAAAGTGTAAGTCAAAAAACAAAATAAAGTTAGTTAAATCAATATTTTATATACTAACGCTTCACTCCATATAGTAAAGTAACTCAATAGTTCATCTACCTTGAGAGCATCATTTAATTAAAATCTGACGCAAAACTGCCTAAACATTAAAAAAAATAAAACTTACACTATGCAAATTCTCACAATCAAAATATAATCAAATTACTTTCTTAGTATATTTAGTGTCTAGAGGACCCAAATGATATAATCTTGGACCTTCTTGATCTTCAAAGAATTGTAAATCTTCGATTTTAGATCATTGGATCTTTGCTTGTCACTTTGAATAAAATCTTTTAGTTCTGGAATTCCAATCTAAAAAATTCGTTTAACCAAATTTTCAAATCCTATTTGATTTTTAATATCTTGTTTTGATTTTCTTTTGACATTCTTTAAAAAAAAATTTTCTGATATTCTTTAATAAATTAGAATATTCTTGCTCAAGATTTTTGAAACTTTTTCGAATATTAATAACTGGAAACCCTGCTTTAAGCCATGGATGTTTTAATTTTGGCATGATACAATCACATTCAACTAACTGACACCTATCAACCTTTAAGTTTGACTTCGGAGAACAATATAGAATATTCAACTTTTTTGTAATTCCATTTGGCAAATTTGATTGACAATATTTAAAGTGTTAAAAGATTTCCATACCCGTTGGAAGTTGCGTTTCTAAACCATGTAGGTTTTTATTAAAATAGTATTACCAATATTAAGTATTACCAATACTATATAAATAGTATAAATAAGCGCGCATTATTTATCTTGAAAAGTACAATAGTGTGATGGATTGGTGTCGATATTGAGATGAAAATGTGTTTTAGTGACCGTGACATCTTTTCAGGTAAATACAAAATATCATAAAACCGAATCGATAACTGTGCATTCTTTTTATTTCTATGCAACACATATCTGAAATAGCAGCTGTAGCTTTATCGATAATATGAAAAATCTTTTTAGAAGATCTCAAACTTTTATTGCGTGAAATCTTGAGTTTCTGATAACTCATATCAATACTTGTTCAGTTACTTAAATTTTTAATTTGAATTTTAAAATTCAAAATCAAATTTGTAAATTTCAAATTTTAAATAAATGTAGTGACTTCATATTAATTGTTTTTTATTTAAAAATAAATATGAAACTTTAGTAAAAGAACATGAAGTGTAATGGTTTGCTATTTATTTTATTTTGGAAAATGGCAGGCGAAAAGGGATGGATGAATGTTAAGGAAACTTACCTTCAAATACGTAACTAATTAAAGTAGCAAACACTGTACAATATTTTTAACCAAAAAACGTTTTTAATATATAAGAAAAAATGTATTTGTATACTCCATATGCTTTCTTAATATCACAACAAAAGTCATAAATTTTGCGAATATATGGATAATTGGAATAATAAATGCTCGGTAATAAAACAAAAACAAATATACGTATGATTTTAAATGAGAAATATATGTAGTGTAGGCTTTTTTTTTTTAATTTAGCTAAATTGGTTTATATTAGACCCTACCTAAACGCCACAGAAATCAGCAATTTATATATATATATATATATATATATATATATATATATATATATATATATATATATATATATATGTATATATATATATATATATATATATATACACATATATATATATATATATATATATATATATATATATATATATATATATATATATATATATATATATATATATATATATATGTATGTATGTATATACATATATATATATATATATATATATACATATATATATATATATATATATATATATATATATATATATATATATATATATATATATATATATATATATATATATATATATATATATATATGTATATGTATATATATATATATATATATATATATATATATATATATATATATATATATATATATATATATATATATATATATATAACCTCTGGTCTAAGTGCCTTTGAACTATCATTTTCAGAATTTGAAAATGCTTTCAAAATGCTAAAACCCAATAAAGCAATTGGCCCAAATGATTTAAATGGAAACATTGTTATTAAGTCATACGATGATATAAAGAATACTCAATTTAAATTTTTCCGCCCCAAATGAAGGTTGCAAAAGTGACCTCTATATATAAAGGTGGTGAACTAACAAATGTTGGGAATTATCGTCCAATTTCAGTTTTGTCAGTTATTTCCAATGCTCACTTTACAAATAAACATAATTTTCACAAAATTTTTGAATTGAATAAAACACTAATGAATTGCTTCTATGCCCAATATAACTAAATTGTTCCATATCAATTACACTAGTGTTATCTTTTGAATTTAGAAATAGAAGTTATTAAATGTGGCTCATCATCCAGTGCATTTGAGAAGGGCATGCTTTCAAAGTAAGTATAATTTTACTATAAAAAGAGCATTTTTAATACCGCAATTATATTGCATACTTGATATACATAAATATATACGCTGGTCACAACAATCCAGTCAAAAATTTCTTTAAAAAAATAAATTTAGTGTTGAGAAATTCGTATTTTTTGATGTTTGATTTTATGTTTATAAAATAATAATTATATATATGTGTGTGTGTGTGTTATTTATTTATTTCCTTTTTATTTTTACATACTTATCTTAACAATATTTTTTTAAGGTTAAGACTGCTGTCCTGATTCCTACAGCAAAAAAAAAACTTTAAAATGCTGGTGGCAATATTTTAAAGAGTGCATCTAATAGAAAAGAAGGTGAATGACGTCAACTGTTCGAAAATACGATTCTTGGAAATTAACAAGTGGAAGAAGAAGTTTACAAAGTTGTAATTTATAAAACTCAGCACAATTATATAATTAAAAAATTTAAATGATTTATTATTTTTTTCTTATTCTCAAGAAGTTCTGTAAAAGCATAAATTTGAACCTTACGTTTAAGTAAAGCCATGTTAGAACACGTATTTTAGACGTCGAAATAAGAACGTCTAAATTAGGTTATTTAAAGACGTCATTCGGCGTTTCCATTTGGCACTAGTTCTGAACGTCGTCTTTTAGACGTCTCAAAACACGTCTTTATTCCGTCCTAAAAAGACGTCCTAATTACGTCTTAAAAAGACGTCATCTGGCGTTGCCATTTAGAACCAGTTCTGGACGTCCTAAAAAGACGTCCTTTCGACGTCATATGGACGTTTCCGTGCCCGCTGGGTATCTAAAGCTTTTGATACTATTGATCACGGCATTCTATTAAATAAATTAGAACATTACGGTATCACTGGTAAAGTCCTAATGTTATTAAAAAGTTATTTAAATAATCGTAAACAATTCATGCATAACTACTGCTTTAGATATATCCTGTGGAGTTCCCCAGGGTTCCATATTTGGACCACTGTTATTTCTAATTTATATTAATGACCTCTATAAAACTTTTAATTTAATGACAATAATGTATGCTGACGATAATAATCTTTTCTTATCCCAAAATGACATTAATAACTTATTTAATGACATGAATGTAGAACTAAAGAAAATATCTGACTAGTTTAAATCGAATAAGCTTTCACTTAATATTGAAAAAACTAAGTGGATTCTTTTTCATTCAGCTTATAAAAAGCATATACTACCAAGTGAAATGCCGCCGCTTTTCATTGATAAAATTAATATAAAAAGAGTAACTTATACTGAATTTTTAGGTATTATTGTGGATGAAAATCTTTTATGGAAAAACCACATTGGAAATCTAAACAATAAAATTGCAAAAAGTATTAGGATTCTATGTAAAATAAGAAGCATTTAAAATAAACATATTTTAATTTAACTATATTACTCATTAATTCACTGCCATATTAACTATGCTAATATTGCCTGGGGTAGTACCAACAAAATTAAGTTAAAGCCTTTGCTTTGTCAACAGAAGCATGTAGCACGTCTTATTAATTTTAAAGATCGTTTTACTCATGCCAGGCCTTTATTATTAAACATGAATATTCTAAATATTTACGAAGCAAATATATTTAACTTTCTTTGTTTTATGTTTAAATGCAAAATTAATGCTTGTTCTGTTTTTTTTCATAATTTATATTCAATGAAATAAAAAAATAAATATATATATTAAGAAATAATAAACATA